CAATTTTTGGAGGTCTCTTCAGACAGCAAAAGGAAGGATTTCTTCAGATTAGTGATGTCATTCTCTAGCTGTTTGATGTTCTTGTCAATGGCCTGTCGAAGGTCTGTGTAGTATAAGTTCGGAGGCCAGTATCTGGATTAGAACTTCTAACAGCGGACATCATGGGTGATTCATTTTTACCTGGAAAGGAAAAATAAGGGAATTCTCAGGGAGATTTCTCTTCCCTGGATATCAATTGTTATTCATCTTATTTATAGTTGGGCCTGGCTTTGTGGGGGTATCTATTTATTTCATGAATCTTTTTGGCAGCCATTTAGCTGTGCCTTCTGTGGTATCAAACAGGCATATCAATCCTCGGACCCATAAGAGAACTGGGTCCAGGCCATTCCCTTTATAGGTAAGAGGGTCTTTCCACATAGCCGTGGCATAGTTTTTATTGGTCTCAGTGATGCCAGAGGCAGTCAGCAGCAGATTTGCCATGAGCTTTCAGTTTTAGAGAGTTAAAAGTGAACAAGGTATGATGGAGAGTATTTCAGGGGGGACTCCTTCTGGGGGGGGTACTATTCCCCCTCTTTTGTTTTTAAAGCCAATTTTTCAGAGTTCTTGTAAAATCAGAGCAGAAGCGCCAGCAGCTGCTCCTTCCACACTCAGAGAGGCATGAAGACACTATTTAAAGAAATATAAATCTATATTAATAATCTCTTTTATCAAAGTACTGTAATAGAACTACCAACAAATAACAAGACTATATAATATATTGATTAATAATAGCTTCTCCTACTTTTTGTAAAATTACTCCTCTTTTGTCAATTAATTGTTGAGGGAAATTAGGATTTACATCTCTCTTGAGAATATTAAGCAGAGACTTAAATTCTTTTGTGGAGAGCTTAAAAATAAGATCTTAGCCAATTAGCATCTCCCAGAAACTTTTGAAAATAATTTGAAATGAGTAAACTATCTTTTTTTTTTTTTTCTTTTTTTTTTGCCAGACCCATTATCTGAGATACTGCCCGGGTTAGAGCTCCTGGGAGGCCCGCTTCCTCTGAGTTTTGTGAGGTTGAGTACAGAGCTGCCTCCTGGGATCCCCAGTGTGCTTTCTTATAGAACCCAAGACTACCAGCCCAGGGATGGCACCACCCACAATGCCCCCCCCCATCACTAATTGAGAAAACGCCTTACAGCTGGATCTCATGGAAGCATTTCCTCAACTGAAGCTCCTTTCTCTGTGATAACTCCAGCTTGTGTCAAGTTGACACACAAAACCAGCCAGTACACCAGATAAGAATAATGTTTAAAGGAAATACAAGAGGATTGGTAAATGCACAGATGGAAATAAATACTGCTGCTGGAGTTCTGTTTTTAGAGGGGAAGGTGTTAGTGGATAATATACCACCTCCTTAGTGAAAAAGTTGGCAGTTCAATACTAGACAATAGTGTTCTGTGCTCAAGCACAAGAGAGGTTTGCCTATGGTGGCTTATGCCTTTAATCCCAGGACTTAGGAGGCAGAGGTCGTGGATCTCTGTGAGTTGGAAGGCAGCCTGATCTACATAGTAAGTTCTGGGACAGCCAGGGCTATGTAGAGAGACTCTGTCTCAAAACAAAAAGGAAGAAAGGAAAGAAGGGAGAGAGGGAGGAAGGAACAAGGGAGGGAGGTTAAAGTATAAGAGGAGCTGAGCTAATCTACGAAGGATTTGCTACTGAGATTGAGAGACAAGGAAACAGAAAAGGGAAGGATCTTCATTTGCTCTGACAACCCAGCTAAGGAAACAGAGAAGTTAGATATCCCTTTTGTTTATTGTTCTAGGTTTTTCTACCACAACAGTCTAATCTAGAACTCATGATGGCTCTACCATCTTGATTTCAGTCACCTGAGCCCTGGCACACATGTAATCTTCAGGAGTTTGTGGTGCACACAGATACTAGTTCCTTTTAAGTTTTTCCACACAAGCCAGCACATAGTGAGGGCCTTCACATGTCTGGAATAGCTGTCATTCATTCTTAACTGCTTTCTGTCCAGTTGGCTGACCCTAGAATACTTAGCACTGTGAAGACAAGTTAGAGTCAAGGAGTTCAGGGCCTGTGCCCCATAGACCCGTGTCTTTATAGTAAGCTTTCTCATAACAGGAGGTGCTATTGTTGGTTTTCATTGCAGACCTTCGAAAGTTCTTTTGTATTGTATACCCATTCTATAAAATTGTTATGCAGATTAAATAAAGTTATGTTTATAGGGTTGGGTTTATGGGTAAGCAATACTGGGCTCATAGAAAATAATGATTTAAAATTAAAATTCTCATGAAATTATAAGATCACTATTGATAGGCATGTCTTAGAAGCTTTGTTAATTCCAAGTCATTCCCTAGACTAGTTTTTCTTTTTCTTTCTTTTTTTTTTTTTTTTTTTTTTTTTGGTTTTTTCAAGACAGGGTTTCTCTGTGTAGCCCTGGCTGTCCTGGAACTCACTCTGTAGACCAGGCTGGCCTCGAACTCAGAAATCCGCCTGTCTTTGCCTCCCAAGTGCTGGGATTAAAGGCGTGCACCACCACTGCCCGGCCCTAGACTAGTTTTTCTTAAAGACCCTTATCTAGACTGCTGTGGGCACCTTGAGAAGAGGACATTTCCTTTTCTACTGACCTTCCATGATGTTTTTTTTTTTCTTAAGTCTTTTCTTCTTGTTATCTTTAACTGTGTCTCCCAATTTAAAATGAAAACAAAAATGAAAAGAAGCATCTCTTGACACCACACATCTTTCCAAAGTCAAAGTCACCTCACTTGGCCCATTTACTGCTTATTCTCCCCAACTTTGTCCAGCAGATTTCACTGGCTGCAGACTAAAATAATACTGAAAGCTCTATGTGATGTCTTTCATGTGTCTCAAAGCTCCAACAACAACTTTCAGTGTTGCTGCCCAGACCTGCTCCCAACACTCTTCTATCCCGTATCTGGTTGGCTCCATCTTCTTCTTGTTAGGCCAAGAACTTTGGGTTGATTCTTGACTACACTCTTGTCCCTACACTAGCTCCATTTTGTTTGTAAATCCTGTTGAATTTATACTCAAACTTTGTCTAAAATTCAATCATTTAATCTCATGTTTGCTGTTACAACCATAGTCAACATGGCAATCTCTTAGTTCCCAACTGTCTTCTTGTTACTTTACAAGCTACCCTTCCTCCTCCCCAAAGTCCACTGTCAGTGGTAACCAGAAGACTTGTAAGATATCTATTAGTATACATCCTCTACACTAGCACGTTCCTCACCATGTTTTCATCCAACATGCAGCAGGAAAGATGCATCATATACACATAATATTGACTGAAAGAAGCCAAACCATTGATCCTGGGTGGAAGCATTCATTGAAAATTAAGGCACAGATGAAACCATTCCGTACTATTAGAAGTCAGGATGGTGATTGATGGAAGAAAACATTGCAACTAGAAAAGAATTCTATGTGTGCTGTACCTTTCATAGGCTGACTACTCTTGTGCATTCCATTTGTAAGAATTCAGCAATTGCTACAGTGACAATGAATGTGCTCTCTCCTGTAGGTACTGTATATTTCAATAAAAGGCAAGATAGAAATGCTGTTTCTCTTATATAAAATTGTTCTTAGACAAGGAATCCGTCAGCATTTGTCACCATTAGACTCTAAGCTCTGTCTCTGCTTTTCGTTCATGCAGTGAGCATTTTTGAGCACTAGGGCCCAAGGAAGGCATTTGGGAGATCAATGTGCACGAGAGATAAAACCTGCTTCTGAGAAATGATAATTAGAATGATTCACAAGCATATGGCAAGACACTAAGGGTTAGAGACAGAAAAAGAAGTGAGAGACGGAGAAAGAACAGAGGTGAGAGGGTAGCATACAGTTTAAATAAGGAGGAGAGGCCTCTCTCAGAGGGTGACAGATGGGCCAAGACCCATAGGGAAGACAGGCTAGGAGCTCAATGTAAATCTGATAGAAAAGCCTCCTGGGCAGAAGGAACAGAAGCAATGAGCTCTGGGGAGACACAGCCAGGGAGTGAGTAACAGGAGCCAGGACGTAGACTTGGAGAAGTGTTGGCCAGAGTAGGCTAGTGGAGGATAACCGGTCAAGGCCTGTTCAAGACGGGCCTCATAGGTCTCTGTGAAGATAAGAGGCATTCTATAAAGATAAGAGGTTGAAGGCTAAAAAAGGACTTTGTTCTCAGAGATTATTTACATTACATTCCAACCACTTGTAGTAGCAAGCCATTCATTTTATTGCTATACAGACACTTATTTCCTGTCCACTCTAACGTTAATGGGTATTTAGATAGACAGAGGATGCTCTGAACATCATATTCAGTGATTGCCTTTTGCTAAACTAGTATGGGTCAAGATATGCCAGTTTAAAAGAACTGTAAAGACCAAGGTACATGGGTATTTATGTGAGACTTTATGCAGTACCATGCTGGTTCCAGCCTGTACTCATGGTGCATATGAAAGTCAAACCTCACACGTGCCACACAGATCAGTGTGCTGTACCAGGGATGGGCTTCAGAGACATGGATCACTTGACTTGAGCATCGTAGCATCTGCTTGAAGTTAAAATGCGCAGAGAGTAGCAACTAAGAACTCCCATCAGAACACCTAATAATATCTTAGACAGTTTGCCTTTTAGGTATTCCAAAGTAGACAAGGCCGGTAGAACATTTCACGAGGAAGCCGAGCACTGCGCAGAGCCTGAAAGCATCCGTGGGCTTTGTGAAAGCAGCGACCGGCTCTGAGGATACCTCAAGGCTGAGGAAATAACAGGAATGAGATATCATTTAAGGAGCCTGGGGTGGCCACTCAGAGGAAGAGCAGACTGTAGGAATTTTAATTCTTGTCGAGATTTGGATTAACGTATCTCTCAAATGGGTTCAAATCTGGCAGCTTTTATATATTACACATCTCCCAGGCTTTTTGATGTACTGATGCCATATTTACCATTTCTAAACCTCACAGTTCATATGTTCTAAATGTTTTTAATGTATATGTATTTTTAGACCGGCAAAGAAGACACATCCAGCGTGACTGTATCAGGCCCCGAGACGGGAAACCAGGCAGGCCAGAGTCTGGAGAACAGCACACTAACAGCGGAGCTCCTGAGCGATGTGCCCTTCACCTTGGCCCCACATGTGCTGGCAGCGCAGGGCACCGTCAGCGACCTTCCTGACCACTTACTCTCATGTGATGTTGGCGACAACTTGTCCCGATTCTGGTATGATTTCACTCTTGAAAATTCAGTCCTCTGTGATTTGTAGTCTTTGTGTCTATGCATACCCTAGCAGCTTTAAAGGAACTGAGTCTCCCTATTTTATTGAACCTGTTTGATGTTCTTTGTCATTTCACTGGTGAAGGCCTTGAGGCAAGCAAGGATCATAAAATAAATAAAATAGCATCATTTCATGGTTTTATCTTCAGAATCAAGTGAATTTATATCAAAATTGAAGTCAACAATGTAATGAATGGAACTGACTTAGGAAAAAAATATGGGTTCAGACCACTCCTATTTCCCCACGTGCTGGATCTCCAGTCATTGAGATGATGTGAGAGGTTAGGGTGGTTTTTGCTGTCTCTGAAGACGCAACAGTGAACAAGGAACCAAGCTAACCCCAGTTTCCAAGGCTCAGCAACCTGAGCCTAGAGCAGGGCGGGTGTGAAGGTTCTGAGGTTCAGAGGAGGTTGTTTACGCAGTTACTCCCACAGTTGTTTATGGATGAGGTCAGAAGAAAGCTTCCAGTTTTTTTCAATGCCAGTTTAGACAAACCAGTAGGGAAATTTGAAACTTCTCTAAAACACCAGTGATTCTTTGCTGATTCAAGACTGAAGGGGATGCTTTGGTTTTCTTAGACCCATGTGGTCCTCTCCACCTTCCTGAAGGATTGCCGGGTTCCTTCTTTGTTCTCATCCCTGTTGGGTGTGGTTGAACCAGTTTCTGGAGAACTGTCTCCACTTCTCAGCTAGGCTGTCTTCTTTACCACATATGTTCCCAGTTGACAAGATCTACATCTCCTTTCACCTCTTCTGCTTGCTAATGAAAACCTCTCATGGTGATACAGATCATTGCTGATCAGCCCTGGTTAGAAAAATGTTGGCCACAGTACAGGGGCAAGGTTTTACTGTTAAACAGACACAGTTTAACTACGTTCCAATTAGAGTGTAGGCAGACACCCAGATAAGAGTAGAATACTCTTTGTTTATTCCAAGTAAAACTGAGCAGGACTGCCATTGGTCCGTAAACTACAAAGAGAGTTGGTATACAGTCACAGGTCCATTTCTTTGCCATGAAAAATTTAAGTCGTTTCTTTTGATTAGTTATAATTTATTAATTCTGTGCCAAAGTTTTTTAAGTATATTTTTTCACAAAGAGAGTATCAGAAAAACTAAACATTGTGCAGAAAAGTACAAGAATTTTTCTAATTTTAATGTGCTCTGCATACTCGTTTAATAAATGTGGTCTTGAGAAAGCATACTGTTAGTTACTTCTTTTACAGCTAGCATTACCATGTGAGATCAATAATTCAGTTAGGTCTTTTTAGGTCTTTACACAGTTTTCATAAAACATCTACATAGGAAATATGCCTTATTATTGACATAAATGTGAACATTTTGTAGCACTTCTATGATGGTACATCCTTTGTAACTATTCATGTTAATATATTTTAAAAGCTGAATGTAAAGAGATTGTTCTTTTGTCTAAAATATGTGAAAATTTTATATGACTATACATTTCATTTATATTTATGTCTGCCATGTTACAAATGTGCTTAGAAGTACTATTTGTCTGAAATTGTTATTTTTAAGAATGTGAATTGAAATAAATGTTTTGATTGTTCTCAGATCCCCAAAATTGCTTTCATTGCATGACTAACATTTAAATACAAGTTGTAGACTTCATAGATAGCAGAGTTAAGTACATTGTGAATTGCAACTTGTTATTCTGTATACAAATCATGTAGCTATTTTAAAGCTGAAACAAAGATTATAAATCAACCAGCCACCCAGCCAACTCCATTTTACCCGAGAGAAAACTGAGGTCTAGAAATGTATATGACTTAAATCACCTAGTTAGTAAAGTATATACTCAAAATGTGGTGCCTTCCCAAATGTAAGCTGAACACGGCTGACACCAGTGAACTTCCCATACTGGATGGAGAAAAGCTCATGAATTTTAGGCAACTGAGGAAGGCTGGAAGCAGATGAGGGATTTCCCCAGGAAAAACACATTGTTGGTTGTCCAATGCCGAATAGTCAGCCCTGAAAACATATATGCATGTATGGACTGAATGAATAGGTTATGCTTGGGAATATATATCCATATATGTGTGTGGTAACAATTAGTTAGGTTTTTTTAAAGGGTCTGTTTTTGACTTTAAGGAGATGGAAGGGCTGTTTGAAAGGGCTTGGAGGGAAAAAAGGGATGAGAGAAATATAATTGTAATCTCAAAAATTGAAAACTGTGTAAATAAAACAAAGTAGAACATATGCAGAAAGAGTTGAGGCGTTGCAGACAGCAGGAGAGTCACTGAGGACTTGGAGCCTGTCCCTGGCGTCTGGTGGCCTCCTTTCCCTTGCTTGTTAAATACCAAGTTTTATACCTTGTAGAGATATGTTGAGTAATAAGAGGTGATTGCTAAATGCCCAGTAACCTAATGATTGACAATGTCATTGATCCTGTTAAAGGGGCTGATCTCATTATGTGTACACACAGGACTGTAACACGATGTGAAATACATGTTATGTGAACTACTTTTGACCAAAATTAAAATGATCTCCCCACACTCATTTCTTACTCCATTCACCTCAGTAACGTCAGTGGTTTCTTCTGTCTTCTACAACGCCATAGTAAGCACGCACCATGGAAGAACAGGGTCTTCTTGTGCCGGAAGTCATTATAGGTATACAATATGTGACTCCGCTCACGTGATTTTAAATCCTAATATGTTTAAGAAGTCACGTGTGTTTTTCCAACTTTCTTTAATGGCATTTGTACTCTTTCCTTTAAAAGTAGAGAAGTAATCCCAGCAAGTTTGTTATTTATTTAGTTAAATTATTAACTCAACTTTGCAATTTGTGCAGTTAGAATGTTAACAAAAACATAATTTTTACTAAAATTTCTAGAAACCTTGCTTTTTTAAGTAAATATCATTGATACCAACTTTTTATCCTCCCTCAAATAAAATAACTGGAAACATTATGACAGAAAATACTGTTTTCCCAGGAACATCATTGTTTTATAATTCTAATGGAGGGGGTGGGGTGGGGGGTACATCAGAGAAGTAATCCTATTCCCGCTGTAGAATAGTGGCTCACCAGTCTTGCTGCTCACCTCCTGAGAACAGCCGCTCAGCCATGGAATGCTGCGGGTGGTTGTCTCACACAAATGCTACTTTCCGAGATTAATGTGCTATCATATCACTCGTGTCCTGAGTAGCAGCCACATGCAAGTATAGTCGTGTTGGCTAGGAAGCTGGAGGGTGTTGTATCTTTTCAAGCCACTGAGAACTCTGGGTTCTTGGATGTTATTTTTTGAGCATTTGTGACACATTACTGAGGGCATGACCCAACTATTCCTGAGAAATCTAAGACTCCAAAAATAGGGCTGACTACATTTGGCTCTAAAGATGGAATATTCTTATGTTTCAAGAAAGTTACTCTTGCCATATGGCTTGGCGGATGGATGTGTGTGAGCAGGAAGAAAAAAAAAAAGAGATGTATTTATTGATCGATGGATAGGAACTCTGTTACGTCAGCATAGCAGAATGTTAATCTTGCAAATGTGAATAAACTTTAAAGCAATTTTACATCTATAGAAATGTGACAAAGATAAGAAGGGAGTCCTTCATTCATCCCCTCTTGTTGACATCTGTCACAGTTAAGGAACCAACGGTACAGCATCCAACACACACTGTTCGGATGTCATAGTTGTTTTCTAGCATCTCTCTCCTGCCAAACTTTCAACTGCAATTTATTATCTACCCATCCTTTCCTTATGCTCCTCAGCGGTTTCTCTGGGATTTTTTTTTCCTATATCGACAATTCTGAGAAATACTGATCAGGTCTACTGGAGATTGAATACGAATGGTCCCCATAAGCTCATATATTTGAAAGCTTAGGAAGTGACACTATTTGAAAGGATTAGGACCTGTGGCTTCACTGGGGTAGGTTGCAGCCTTGCTGGAAAAAGGGTGTCACTGGGGGAGACATTTAGAGTCTCAAACGGCAAAGCCAGGCCTGTAGCTGTTTTTCTTTCTGCTGCCTACGAATCCAGATACAGAACTCTAAACTTCTCCAGCACAATGTCTGTCTGTATGCCTCCATGTTACTGATAATGAATTAAAGCTCTGACGCTGTCATTAAACCCCCAATTAAATGTTTTCGTTTTTATTTTTGTTTTTTTAAATAACTGTCGCGGAGGCCATGGCACCTTTCCACAGCAACAGAACACTGATTCACATGGCACATGCCTTTCTTTAATGCCGCTACTCAGGAGGTGGCACAGGCAGATCTGTGTGAATTCCAGGCCGATCAGGATTACAGAGTGACCCTGTCTGAAAAAAAAAACAAAACAAAAATGTGAGTGTGACATCACCTTTCAATGAGAGCATGTCACATCAAGGGTAGATGCTCTAAACCTGACCTTCCAGTATTAACTTTGGCCACCTGGCCCAGGATAGTGTTTCCAGGTTTTTGTAGCATTTTCCTCCAACATTGTTTTCTCCAGACTCTGTAGATACTCTCCTCTGTGGGATAAAATCATGAAGCACAGCACATCCCCAAGGAACAGGGAATTAACCTCCCACCTTCTTAAGGAGGGGGCACAGTACATAATTATTTGGCCTTCTTCTGTACTGCAGACTTATCTGTTCACACCCAGTTTGCTTTTCTTACCAATTACTTACATCAGTCTGAATTCATGAATATTCTGTCTTCTGTCCAAAAATAAGTTAGTGGTGGCCAAGGGACATATGCGCATTTTTACAGAAGTTAATAGAATTTGAAACATCTTACATGAGTACCATCTGATGTTGGATATCACATTCGATTTTAGAGTCCTTCAGATCCTTCTTCCTGTAAATACCAACTATATTACTCTCCTTACCTTGCCATGACTTTAACTGTGTACACAGTCACAAGTCACATAAGGACATTGTGGCCAGTAACAGGCTGCAGAGATGGCGATATGAGGTCTCATAGGATTGTACTAGAGCGTTCCTGCTGGGCCTCTTCTATGCTGAGATATGTTACAGTATTGCATCTGCAGTTGTGTTACACAGTAGTTGGTGGGGTAACATGCAGTTCAGGTTTGTAGCCTAGATAAGCGGCAGGCTCTCCCATCTAGTGTTCTCTACGTGCACTCTGAGGTGGTCACACAATGATAAGGTCATGTGGTGGCTCGTGACTCAGAACACATCCCACAACCTATGACTGTACAGAAGACCTCTGACAAGTGTAACATCATAAATGGAGCCCGCTGTCCCACCTGTTACCTAAGATGGTCCTGTCATACACACAATGCCGCCCTAAAGCCAGTCCTGTGTGAGATGACAGAGTGACCATTTTCCTCTCTAAGGAACCAACCAAAAAAATCTCATGGCACCCAGGCTCTTCTCTCTGATGTGAGCTATTTATTTAAAGTAATAATGAAAGCAGAAGCATGGCTCCTCAGTTGTTAAACTTATATCTCGTCTTCTGCCTGTAAGAGTGATCAGGAGCAGGGAAAGGAAGTTCTATCTCCTCTTAGAAGAGAGATACCGAGAAACTGCCTGTGATGTATGAAAACGTACTATGCCAAAACGACACTGATCCCATCCAAGTTGAGTTAGTTCATCCTTGAACCAACTGTGATGTAATTCTTTGTCAAGAATTTCCCCAAACCCAATTTGTACCCTTACGAAGAAAACAAATTCCTCACAGTCAAACCTGAAACAAAGGATAATTGCACCCAGAACGTCCATCCACAGCTACCTCTGAACTGGCCACGGGCTTGGCACTCACCTCCCATGCAGAAAGGCTCCATTCAGAGGCCAATCAAGGAGACTGACCCTCAGCTTGGCACTGCTGCCATGGAAGACCAATCCAGAGTGGGCAGTAATCCTAAAGGGTTAATTAGGGAGAGAAGGAGCCATCATGTGGATTTCACTGTTACTGTGTGGTTTTCCTTTCAATCTTGCTTTTCAAAAGGTGCATAATTTATTGTGTGTTTTAAAATTTTAATGTATTTCCACATAATAGCTAAGAATATTTAGGAAGCTAGCAAAGAGTGGTTTTATTTAAGAACAAGGACCAGACAGAGCTGAATTCTTCACCTCCAAGATACACTGCACATTGCAATAGGCATTCTCAAGACAAAAGCGGACCACATGGCGGCTGACGAGCCTGTAGCAGTAGGTCTGAAAATGAAGCCTGAATATTCATTGTCCTCCCAGAGTTTCCCCTCATCACAGATTTGGACTCTGAGGAGACTTCCTGTTTATCTATACATGTATTTGAACCTGGAACAGACTGTGGTCTTCTATCTCACACTGTACCAGCTGCAGCTGTCAATTAGCACAGCTTAAAACAAGAACACTATCATACCGCCACCACCCCCTGCCTCTATTCCTACAGAAGCATGGCTCGGATCTGAGAGGAAAATTTCCATGTTTCTACCTGAACTCGGCATTTCAGTTTTGTCATTGTAAAGACATAGGCAGCAATAGAGAAAATACAGAGAATGGCACTGTTAAGAGCTGTAAAGAACCAGTAGTCTGTGGAGTGTAAGAAACAGATGTCTCTGCCTTCATGAGTAAATATATGCTTCCATTTTTTGGCTACCTTACATTCTGAAATTGAAACTGGATGTCATGG